TTCATTCATTCATTCATTCATTCATTCATTCATTCATTCATTCATTCTTCCCAAAGCTGGGAAGTAGAACCAATAGTGGATGACAAAGTCAGAACTCAAAATGATCTTAAAAAGGAATGCTTGCCTGAATTTAATAAAGTAAGTTTAGTCAACTTCAAAGAACTTTAAAAAACAAAAACAAAAACAAAAATCCTTCACCAGTATAAGACATAAATGGTTTGGCTAAAAAGAAGATGGTCTGAAAAATATCTGGAGGTTTTACTAGACCGCCAAGTCCATTAAGTCAACACTGTGGGATGGCAGTCAAAACAACTAATGCCACCTTACAAGAGAGGTCATCGTATTAAGATTAGAAAGGTGACGGCCTCATTGTACCTTGTCTGAATCACATCACATCTCAAATACTGTGTTTACTTCTGTGATGTGAAATTTGAGGCATGATAACTTGTTGAAAATATCAATGAAAATTTTTGGCACAGCAAGTGCAGAACTCAAGACTTTCTGACTGCTCAGGGGCAGTTAGGTGGCGCAGTAGATAAAGCTCCAGCCTTAGAGTCAGGAGGACCTGAGTTTAAATTTGGCCTCAGACACATAACACTTACTAGCTGCATGACCCTGGGCAAGTCACTTAACCCCAAATGCCTCACCCAAAAAAAAAAAAAAAAAAGGCAGCCTCTGAGGTTCGACCAGATGGCACAGGGAGCCTTTCCAACCCTTGACCTGGATTTGAATCTTAGCACTACTGCTTACTGCCTGTGTGACGTTGGACAAATGGGACAGGCTCTCTGGCCCTCAGTTTTCTCATCTGTAAAACACGCAGTTTGGAATAGAAAGGTGAGCTTTTATTAAGTGTTTATTGTGTCCTAGGCACTGTGCTAAGTGCAGGGAATACAAATCAGTAAAAAAGTCAAGCTCTACTCAAGCTCCAAGATCATAATGGTTTTTGATAAGTCCCCTGCAAGCACTCACAGAACAATGAAAGGAACCGTGGATTCAGAGGAGCTGGGTTCACATACCACCCTGATCCTTCCTGTGTGACCTTAGGCATGTCACTTAATTTCCCTCAGCCTCAGTTTCTTCAACTGTCAAAAGTGAAGATGCAGGACTAGATGGGCCCTAGGGTCCCTTCCAGCTCTAGATTTGTGATTCAGCAGATACTACCGCAGTCTAAAGATCTGGGTGTTCTCAGAAATTACACAAACTAAAAAGGATGGAGCCAAAGTTGTCCTTACCTCCTTTCTTTTCTTCTTTCATCCATCCTTTTGTCTAATGCTGCATAAATAGCATCTGCTTCCTCATCATCTTTTTCATAAGGACCACTTGAGAAAAGACTTCCAGCATAACCATTAAACTAAGATAAAAAGAAATAATTTCTAAATTAATTTATTCCTTTAATATAAATAACATCAACCAAAAAAAGGATAACCACCTCTGTCAACATAACCCTGGGTATAAATGTCTCTTCTATACTTTCAGAAAAGATACGGACTACAGAATATTTTAAAGAATAAAACCTTAATTTATAAAGTGTTGTTATATAGTTATGAACCACAGAATACTACAATTTCAAAGTCAAAAATGCAGGGAACCCAAAGAGTAATTAAAAAAAAAACACATGGAGGGGGCAAGTAGCTGGCACAATGGATAGAGCACTGGCCCTGGAGTCAGAAGGACCTGAGTTCAAATCTGGCCTCAGACACTTGACTAGTTGTGTGACCCTGGGCAAGTCACTTAACCCCATCGCCTCGCCAAAAAACAACAACAAAAAAAAAAAAACACGTGGAAAGTGTAATTAGGTCAGAGGCATCTTATTAATGACTTATGTTCAAATACTGGTGTAAAAGATGTTGTCAAAGACACACAACTAGAAAAAAAGGTTGAATGTTCAAATTTTAAGAACAAAGAATAACAGATGAACTCAAGTAGTGAACTGCTACCCAAGATATACTCAACAAAAAAGAAGAAGGTCTCCCGGGCATTGGAGAGATACTCCAGAGAGAAGTTTACCATAAGATGACAAGATATGGATAGAATGCAGTCTAATCAGACAAAGTAAAGGTCTACCTAGAGGAGATCATGGAGCTAAATTATTTCTCTTCACTAATCAGAAAGAATAGCAGTGCAGAAGCATAACCAAAAAAAAAAAAAATACCAGCAATCAAACTTGTGAGTGTTCATTACCACTCACATTGAAAACCCTTTGCCTTTTGCCGTTGGCCTCAAGGAACAGATACAGATATAAAAATTCCTCTCTTGTCTTTGCAGAGGGGACTACCAAAACAGTGATATGTTCATAAGTTTTACTCAACTTGCTCCTCCTCCTTTTTATTATTTATTATAAGGGACAGCTCAGGGCAGGGTGGAGGAATACATCGGGAAACATAGATAATATAAAAAATATCAATAATGTTTTTAAAGTCAAGATGCTACATTAATGTAAACAATTTTCTTGCTTTTTACTTGTTGTTCTGGTATAGGTGAACCTAAATGATCTCTTCTGTAGAGATACAAAAATTACACAAACATTTCATTTTATTCTTAACCTTTCTCACTTTGTTAATGGTCTCATAAATAGCTAAAACATAAAAAATAAATCAGCCACCCAGATTATTCTCTAGCACAGGTGCAGCAGCATAACAGTAGGGGGAGTTTAAAGAGTCTCTCTTCCTAGGTTGGGGTTATCAAAATAGTCCATGAAAGGCCCAAATATATGTTATCACCTCATCATAGTTAGTGTCATTCAGATCTTCATCATCATCATCTGCAGCCTGGTTTTTCTTCATCTGATCCCCTACAGTTCTCTTGCCTGGTGGAGCATGTCTATCATCCACTGGGTCATTGGCATCTCGAGCAGGCCCAATATCTGACCGGGTGGTGAAACCAGTGGCTCTGTAGGAAATGGCATGGATTCATTTACTGATGTATGATCACTCTTAATAAATGCTTAAGATATTTAACGTCAATATGGAAGGCTTAAGGTTTGCAAAGTGATTTACATCTCTCATTTCAGACTCAAAATAATCCTCTGAGGTATGTACATCTATTATTCTTTCCATTTTATATGTGAAGAAGTTATGGTTCAGAAAGGTTAAATGATATGCATGGTCACACACCTAATAAAGTATAAGAGGCAGGATTTTAATCCAACTGTAGTATCTATCCACAAAGCCATGCTGCTTCTTAACAGATTTCAATCAAGTCAGAAAAGTACTTATTAAGCACCTACTATGTTGCACGATGCTGAACGCTGGGGATACAAATAGAGGCAAAAAAAAAGAGTCTCTGTCCTCAAGGAGCAAGGACTCCTAATGAGGGGAGATAACATGCAAACAACTATATACACATAGAACAAAAGGGAGAAAATCTGAGAGGGAAAGCACTAATATTCAGGAGTACTAGGAGAGAAAGGTATCTTGCAGAAGGTGGTATTTAACAGACATGAAGTCAGGTAAGGTGAGGAGAGAGAGAAATTTCATTTTGTCTACCTTACCCTTATACCTATTTCCCTCTTTTTTTCTAGCATTCACCCACTTTTTTTTCTCTAAATAAACGGAAATTCAAAGGGTGAAAGGGTAATTTCAAGATGCCACGGGGCTATTTCAATAGAGATTAACTAATCACTGCTGTATCCTCAAAACAAAATTTAAATACTATAAACTGTAGAGGAAGATGAAATCCCTGGTCTACTGTTGAAAGGACATGGTGTTCAGTTTTTTCCCCTCAACTGGATAAATTTATGTTAAGGCAGAGGAAAGAATGGGATGAAAAAGGAAAGATGAGCTACAGGTAGGAAAGATGAAAAATGAGAGCAAGGTGGGAGAAACAGAAACAAAATGAGATATTACAATCTGCCCATCCCAAGAAACTGAGCTTGAATGCAAGGCACTGGGGTTTCCTCGAAAGAACCCTGGGCTGAATCAGGAACACTGAAGTTGAAAATCCCTGCAGTGACATTTATTGGCTAAAGTGGCAAATCATCCAACCTTCCTAAACCCCAGTTTATCCTACTTGTATAACGCAGGTATTGTATTCCTGCATCAGTCACAACAGAGCTGCAAGAAATGCCTTTGCAAACCCTGAAGCAACATGGCTTGGTTATTATTTAACTGTGATTATTAGGAGGCAGTATTTATTTGGGGAAAAATGGGTAAGAAGAACGAACAGAAACTTAAGTCCTGCCAGGAAATCGGAGGGAACGAAGAGAGAGGGAGACAGGAGAGGAATAGAGTGAGGAGAGAGAGACAGAGAGAAAAGAGAAAGAAGAGGAAAAAGTAGAGAAAGGAGAAAGAACGAGAACTACGGGGGAGGAAGGGAGAGAGAGAGGGAGACAGAGAGAGAGAGAGAGAGAGAGAGAGAGAGAGAGAGAGAGAGAGAGAAAGAGAGAAAAAGAGAGAGAGAGAGAATGTATGTGTGTGTGTGAGTCAGCTTTAGCGACTAGCCCTCCCCAGAGCAGCCGCCACAGCTCCCCACCCCTCCCCCGAGGACACCGGCGCACGACAAACGGGCGGAGGAGGGATGAGGGAAGAAGCTTCCACCGGCCCAGGGCCGCCCGGCTCCCGTTCTGGCCCCGGCCTTGGCTCCGCTGCAGCCCCTGCTCACCCGCGGCCCAGCCCCGGCACGTAGCCAAGGGGCGCAGGCATTCCCAGGAACGGCTTCTTTTTCTTGTTCATGGTGGCGGCGGGAAGGCCGGGGGTCGCCGGGGAAGCGGAGGGGAACCCTCGTAGGTTATTCCTCCAAGACTGAGTTACCGCAGAACCGCGGACCCAAGGAGGCGGAAGTGCGTCACCCGAAACCCGGAAGTGTAGAACGTCTCCGTTGCGACGCCCCACCCCGCCTCTTCCTCTCTTGAGGTTGACAGGAAGCTCTTTTGCCCTAGCCTTCCGGCCCGAAGGTGTCAAAATGGCGAGGGTCCCTAAGTGGTGGGTGTCCACGCATGCGTGGGAGTTCTGAGGTCCGAATCTCTCCGTAGGCGTGGGAATGCGGGGCACCTCTTGTGCACATGCGCACAGGTACACAACTTCACCCACTAACAGCGTAAAGCTGTCCACGCTGTTCCTACCTCGCTCAACCCATAGGTGCAATACACCTAGCCAAAGCACGCAAAGCTCCCAGTTCATGAACACAGACACACGCAAACACAATTCAGTTCATTCAACAAGCATTTATTTAGCACCCGCTAAATATGACAGGTACTTTGCTAGGACCTGAACCAAAATGAAACTATGCCCACAATCAAGTACCTTACATTCTACCGTGGGAGAAAAAACAGGCGCACAGACGAATAAATACAAAATAATTGAGGGGGTAGCCCTAGAGAACCAGAAAAGTCCGTGGTTAGGTGGTTACACTAGAGCTGAGGTATGAAAGTAGCTAAGGATTCCAAAAAGCAAGGGTGAGGAAAAACTGAAGTGTATGCCTGCATAAAGGCAAGAAGATAGGATATGGATTTCAGAGGAATAGCAAGTAGATAAGTTTGGCTGAAAGGTAGAATCTGTAAGTGGGACTAATGTTTGCAAAGAGTTTGAAGCCAGATTCTGAAGGGCTTTACAGACGAAAGAGGAGTTTATATTTACCCAACATGTGATTATGAGTGAAGGGGACAGATGTGAGAGAGATGTAAAGGTTAGATCAATAAAATTTAATAATTGATTGGATGTAGGGGATTAGAAAGAACTGAGGGTCAAGGATGACACTCAACATAGCTTGTGAACCTGATTGCGGTGCCTTCGTGGAAGTTCAGAAGAAGGTGAGCTTAAGAAGGACGATTATGAAATTCTGTTGTGAACATGTTGAGTGTGAGATGCCTCCAGGTCATCCAGGCAAAAATGTCCAGTAGGGAGGTGGTGATGTAAGGCTGGAACCGAAGAAAGAGATGTAGGCTAGATATGTAGATTGGGCAAACATTCAGAGATGATATTTGAATCCAGGAGAAGCTGATGAGCTCACCTACAAGAGGGGCTTTTAACCTGGGAACTGAGCTTGGGTTTTTTAAAATATTTTGATTATAACTTCACTATAATTGTTTTACTTTGCAATCCTATGTATTTTATTTTATACATACAAAAATATTATTCTGAGATTGGATCTGTAGCTTCATCAGACTGCCAAAAGGTACCCCACCCCCAAAAAAAAAGTTAAGAGCACTTGACTTGGGGACAGAAATGAAGATGGTACATGGTACTGTGGGGGGAGGGGAGTACATGGATAGTGATCCAGCAAAGGAGACTGAGAAAGAGTTGTCACACAAGTTGGAAAAGAAATGAGAGTACATAATAATAGCTAATATTTATATCGCACTTATTATGAGTCAGGTACTGATGTATTACAATTATTATCTTATTTGATTCTCGAAACAACCCTGAATGAAGAGGGGAATGAAGAGAAGGGGAAAAATTTTGTTGTTCAGTCATTATGGTCATGTCCAACTCTGCAAGACCTCATTTGGGGTTGTCTTGGCAAAGACAATGGAGTAGTTTGCCGTTTTCTTCTCTAGTTCATTTTACAGATTAGGCGAACTGAGGAAACTGAGGCAAATCTTGCCCAGAGTCACACAGCTAGTAAGTGTCTGAGGCCATATTTTAACTCAGGAAAATGAGTCTTCCTGGCTGAAGTCCTGGCACTCTATCCACTGTGCCTCCTAGCTGCCCTGTTTTTCATATGCAGCTATGCTGTTCAAGCATCTGAACTTTTCTAAGATGTGGAATGTTAATTTTGCATTTAAGGCCTTTATCATATATTTCCTCTGTCTTTTTACCCCTCCTTACCTTTCATCTTGCTAAAGTCTCACTGGAGCGCACAATTATACCTCTGTTGTCACATATTTTGAGGAATCTTGTATAATTTTGAGGTATGTCCCTGCCCTCAAGGAGCTTATAATCTAAGGGGGAGACAACATGCAAACATATATACAAAACAAGCTATGTTACAGGAAAAATAGGAAATGGCTAACAGAGGGAAGGCACTGAAAGTAAGAGGGGTTAGGAAAGGTTTCCTGTAGAAGGTGAAATTTTAATTGAGACTTAAAGAAAGCCAGGGAAGTCAGTAGTTGGCATGAAGTAAGAGCATTCCGGACATGGAGGCCAACCAGAGAAAATGCCCAGAGCTGAGAGATGGAGTGTTTTGTTCATGAAACAGCTAGGAGGCCAGTGTCACTGGGCTGAAGAATATGTACTAGAGAATAAAGTGTAAGAAGACTGGAAAGGTAGGAGGAGGCTAGGTTATGAAGGGCTTTGAATACTGAACAGAACATTTTGTATTTGATCCTGGAGGTGATAGGGAACCACCGGAGTTTATTGAGTTGGGTGGTGGGAGGTGAGAGAGGGGGAAATGACGTGATCAGTCCTGCACTTTAGGAAAACCACTTTAGTGGCCGAATGGAGGATGGATTGGAGTAGGGGGAGGCTTGAGGCAGACAGACCCATCACCAGGCTATTGCAATAATCCAGACTTGCAGTGATGAGGACCTGCACTAGAATGATGGCAGTGTCAGAGGAGGGAAGGAGGAGTATTTGAGAGATGTTACAAAAGTGAAATTGACAAGCCTTGACAATAGATTGGGTATGGGGGGAAGGAGGGGAATGAGATCATGAGGAATCCAGATTGACTTCTAGGTTATGAGCATGAGGCACTAGGAAGATGTTGTTGCCCTCTACAGTAATAGGGAAGCTAGGAGATAAGGAGGGTATGGGGGAAAGATGAGCTTCCATGTTGCACATACTGAGTTTAAGATATCTACCAGACATCCAGTTAGAGATGTCTGAAAGGTAGTTGGAGATGTGAAATTAGAAATCAGCAGAGAGTTTGGGGCAGGATAGGTAGATTTGAGAATCATCAGTATAGAGGTGGGCCAGGAGTCAGGAAGACTCATCTTCTTGAGTTTAAATCTGGCCTCAGACACTTACTAGCTGTGTGACCCTGGGCAAGTCATTTAACCCTGTTTGCCTCAGTTTCCTCATCTGTAGAATGAACTGGAGAAGGAAATGGCAAACCACTCCAGTATCTTTGCCAAGAAAACCCTAAATGGGGTCAGGAAGAGTCCAACACAACTGAATAACAAAGGGTTTATTGTTTTGTTGATTGTCTAAACTTAAGAAAGGGGTGAGGAAAAAGTTAATAATGCTGATTAAACTTACAAGTATCACCTGCCTTTCAGGGTTGGATGTTAAACATTTGCCAGCATATCTCTGATCAAGGGCACACCTAACACATGTAAATGTGCACACATATGAATCCCTGAGACTCCTATGACAAGACTTAGTATAGCCTGACGGTTTTTGAATATGGCCATCGCAGTTATTTCCAAAGCCTCTCCTCAGCTCCCTCACCTTAATGTGACAGGACCCTGGGGAGGTGGGAAGGAAAGAAACAGGGAATACAGGGCTACACATAGCCCAGCCTTACTGGGTGGGAAGGATTGCAGGAGATGGGCCTGGAGATTAACTTCATTTGGATAGGGTTGGGTTTGCAGGGGCTACTACAGAAGAACTTTGTGCCAAAGGCCTTTCTGAGCCATCTTGTTCTTCTTTTATCTTCTTTAAATTTCACTTTATCCTGGTGTGGTTCTGGGATTCTGATAGCCAAGACCTATGTAGATAGGCTAACATGTCCCTTCCCACACACATCAGCTTCTGGTTTGGCTGAATTTATCCCCTTCTCAGGGTCCCCTAGCTCGTGTAGCCACTGCTAGATGGATCCCATGACATATAGATCTTCTGCTTCTGTCCTGAAACATTCAGGAGTGAAAGGAAGACTAGATGGAGGTCATTCAGTATGGTCTAATTGTTGTCTCAGGCACCGGGCTTCAGAACCAGTAGAAGGGAAAGAGAAAATGATCAGAATCTGAGGGTAACATCCCCTGAGCCAAACTTCCCCTGTAACTCCTCTTATTCCACATGCTTGTTCATGTACACATAAAAGTATCTCAATACCCACCAGTATGTTACCATTTTGGCCCAGACTTGTGACATGCATATGACCTACGTGACTATCAAGCCACCCATCTGGAAGCGACCTAAGATCACACAGGAAGTGTCCCAGGTACCTTGTTAGATACCCTGCTCTGTTAGCCCGTGCTGAGGGAGGAAGCCGGATGGCCTGAAGCTATGAACTCTTCCACTAATCCCACCAACACCACCCCATACACCTCACCCAGGGGTGTGCTAGTAAATGCTTAAAAACTGGCTCTCTAGAAAAATGGACATATGGCAAACTTTTAAGTTTAATCTGCGTCTAACAATTTCTCCATCACTTTCTTAAGTCTAGACAAAGCAATAGCTCAAACCCTGATTTGGAACACTGGCTAATTTCTGAGGTGAAATACTGACACAGAAAATTTAACATTCAGCTGTCCCAAGCAGGTTTGAGCTGGCTCCAGCATACTCCTGCCACTCACTCCTCAAACCTACAGGAGTCCCTTCCACAGGGCCAACTTGTGGAAGTGGACAAGGCAGAACATTCATTAACTTTAGGACTTGTCAGTCATTAACTCTTCTCTGCTTTCCCTGGCAAAGAACTGTCCCCAGAAACTGGTGGGCATGTTTAGGCAACAGGAAGGGGAGACAGTCTCTTCCTGGCTGTGGGAGCATGTGGGTCTGTTAGCAGCCCCTGGGGTAAAGCCACGGGGTCATAGAATAGGGATGAGACTAAAATGTATGGAGCCAGAGCCCTAGAAAGAGGGTCCTCCAAGAGGCACCAGGCTACTTCATGTCAATGCAGCCAAACTTATCCTGGGATCAGATAAGGAAGGGATGTTCTCACCCAAGACTCCTAAAA